ATTAATTGTCGAGACGGGTCAAAATTAGTGAGTTAATAAGAAAAAGTGCTGCACGTTCAAAAGGGATATCAAATAGAAAAGATCTGGGTTCCAAAGAATTTCTTTGTGAAGGAATGTTGTTGGAGGGACTTTCATTTCGTATGAAAGTGCATGAAGAAGAGATTCGTCGGTCGAGCTCACCAGATGAGGACGGATGAAGTCCGTCCAGGTTGGCGCAGTCCACGAGACTTCCTCCCTCGTTTCGGGTGAAAACGGGCTGAGCTTTCGTCCATCACATGAACCTGAAAATCGTATAAAAGCTAAACGGCTGCAGTACATCAGGATTCATCTGTCCTCATCTGGTGAGATCGACCGACGAATCTCTTCTTCATGCACTATCATACGAAATGAAAGTGCCCGCAACAATGTTATTTCAGGAGATTAATCGAAACCCACTTTATCGTCGTATCTACAAGGGATGTTGGTTGGAATGAATTAATGACTTGGACCTTCCGGAAACCAAAAGGAGATTGACTACCGTGGAATGTGGCTGTCGGATTGCGCGAAAAAGCCCCCTGCAACTGTCCATCGGAATCACACTTCTCCGCACAATCCAACAACCTTCACTACAAGGCACTCCTTCGACTTCGGGTGAGACCAATTCACGAATGTCCTACAACCGGCTTTTCCTTCCATATCCTAACTCTGCATTTTCGCCCTTTACTACCACTTCATGTGGCCGATTTTCCTATCTGTACCATTCTGTATATTTTATTGTGCCGAAATCATTATGGCTTTTAAAGAAGTGTTGGTAAGGCGTCCTCAATTTCACCCTCTATCTGGCATCCCATCTGTACGACTTCCTCATCTCAAGGGCAGAGGATGGCGCATCTGATGATACCACCGATGCTGGAAATTGACAAGAGTATTTGATGCTAGATGACGCATAAATGTGCATGCTTCATGAGGTCTTCCTTTCGCCCCCTCAAGTTGTGAAAACGAGGTCCAACCAACACACAATCAGCCCGAGTGTGTCTGTAGGTATGAAAAGTCCATTTAGTCTGACACAAACGACTTGGCCTCATTTATGGAATGTGGAGATTCCAACAGCATAGTATACCGGTGCTCAACTCAAGATTATACTTATAATGACAGTCGTTCTGATGTTAATCCTTGCTGGTGGTCTCGAGAGCTACCAAAAACCGTCTACGTAGACGCTATGAATGCGACTAGTCGCCACAACCTCCCGAATGTGGGGTCATAGTGTGGTTGAAGAAGTCTCCACTGATATGCTAAGTATATTTTATCTGGCCCCAGTCAACAGTCACATGATAATGCTAATGTTAAGCGCAAAAACCAACATATCTAACTCTCCTTAATGAAAACAGTAAACATACCTGCAAGTAGTTAAGTAAATATTCCGTTACCTAGCCTCTTTATTTACATAATGCGTATGCATAAATTTTCTTATATTGGCGCTGCCTATAGCTTAATTTGTCATTAGATGTAGTATGAGCTTGGTTTTCAGATGAAAAAGAAAATAATTATGATTGCAGATATGTCATCTTCTAATTGAATGTGAATTTAGAAAGTATTCCGCTTTGTAGCATCATGTTGTCTAGCCAACTGTGGAAAAATGGGACTTTGACATTAAAACAGGTTCAGGATTACAGATGCTGATAGCTGGTACCCTTTACTTCATTGTCATTTAAAGTTAAAGCAAATTACTTTTGTTATGCACTTGAATGAAGGCTGAAATTAGTATGCTTGGCCTGATTAGAACGGGACGACGACCGGCCGCATTATACTTTCGGGACTTGGAAGGAACCTAATCAAAAGCTGACATTAAGAAAATAAATTGGCATTGTTAAAAAGGAATAAGCAAAGTATAGTCCAGAAAATTAAGTCTCGGCATTCTGGGTAAAAGAGCAACATTATTGGTATAAAAATGTTGTGTAAGTTGTGGAAAATTGGCCACTTTTGTCGAATAGGTGAACTTTGACAAACTTCAAAGGAGTACATGAACCACTTCAGCCGTTTTCGTGGAAAGAAAGATTTTATGATGGTACTGGCAACAGCTACAAAAGGACAAGTACAATCAATTGCATACACGATTTAGGAATTGGTACAACACATCTGAGGGGCAGAGTGATGGTAGCTTTATGTACATGTAAACGAATATAAGCAAGCACAAGCATACAAACGCACATAATGCTTGTAGCGACATCACATGAACTAATACGATCACCATATACCTCATAAAAGCACCAGGGTTGATATTATGTTGTATTATCATATACGCGGCATGTAGGGGTAAGCTGGTGACTCTTCTTGACTTGTTCGATTGAATGTGGTTGTAAAAATGATCATGTTCATCACATAAATGACTAAAGCTTATCATGTTTTCATCGGAATCCGAGTAGAGTTGCTTGGGTACAGCTTCAACCAAAATGTTCTAGTTATGCCAAACGATGGCTAGACAAGAGGAACCGAACGCCATCTTCCGGTTGGATCGAACTTTGGTACACAATTTCACTCGAAGGGAAGAGGAGCTCATCGATTGTAAACCAAACTTTTCATTTTGCATACAATGTACAGTTTGTCCAAGCCAGACAATATGCTTGAAAAATGTTGACGCACCTCTTGGTTCACTTGAGAATGCGGGAAAAGGTGATTGGTAAATGATTGCTGGCTTTGACCGTGTCTTCTGTCACATGACGCATGAAGACTAGGCACGGATGGATCGGGGTGCTTTCAGGTGAGTTTCATAAGCCCAAAGTGATACTTGGTTGTTAGGGGAACTGTTTACAAACGAGATGACATACACGAAAAGCCCAGTTGCTACTGGTTTGTAGGATTCGTTGAAAAGCCATCTGAACAGAGGCATGCTTGCACCCCATCAATCTCTATTCGAAAAGGCGCAAAGTATTCTGAAGAGTCGTCGGGAGATTCGCCAACCGTTCAGTCTTCCTCTCACATCAATTGTGGGGGCTCGAGGTAAAGTCAAGACAATCTACCGGCAATGAAGAGCATGCATGTATCTCGCAGCCGGATCAATGGTACCTTGACGAAATTTTATTCAAGACGAATATAATCTGCATAAAGCTCATTTGAGAGTAATGCAGCGATTGGCTTGTCGAACTTGAAGACGAGAACTTTGCTACCGGAGAAGCAGCATCGTATCTGGAAGTGTAGGTTGAAGAGATAAATGCGTCAGGTCGAATGAGGCCTCCGATCATTTTGTCCATAATGTGGGTAAAATAGGCTGATTCAGGGTAATAAATACAGTGGAGTGTAAATGTGGATCACTTTTCGAGACTATATTAGATCTATTCAACCTATTTCGTTAAGGTTATGAGGAACTAGTAGTTGCATTTTCCTACAATTCAATTTCACATTGCCTTGCTTTCCCAAAAGGTATTCTCATCCAGTCAAGAGTGGACTGCAGTTTTGACCTCGCTTCATCTGGTTTCATCAGCAGGACTCGAGCCGTGATAGTGCAGCGTATACTCTCACCACGTCAACCGTTGTGTGAGAGTACCTTTTGGGAAATAATGCTATACGAGATGGAATGGAAACTGCCAGTCCTTTATCACCTTCGAGAAATAAAATGAATACATGATTTGGACGGAATGATGAGGTGACAGAACAAGAACTCTCAGGCATAATGTGAAATGATAAAAGAGTGCTGTGGTGGATATCCAAGTAAACAAACATTGCCACGTGAAAAATGCTTATGTTCAACGGCAACAAAGACATGACTTCTACGAAATTGTGAATTGAGGAGAGTGTGAGATCTGCCGAAGACGTGTTTATATTTGGAATTTTCACGTCACCTATTTGAGATGCCAATGTGGCACAGGCGAGGTCTTTGCTGCAGTTGCACATGTTACTGAAGTTGAACTTAGGTATATTGTCGGAATAGAAGCTTCAATGAAATTCATCAACATGAACTTCGTTCTCTCAAACGGCAAGCGAACAAAAGTTTGTCATAAACCTCGGAAATAACACCCTCTGAAGGAGCCATAGGCCAATACAACGAATAGATCGCAGCATTTCTGAGCATAAAAAGGACAGATTCAGATAACATACACAGGCCTCTTCTTACCAAGTCTTTTAGGATGGGGTAAGTATGCTAAAGACAGAATAAGCAAAACTGACAGAAAAGAGCAAAAGTAAAAGATATTACTTTGAAGATAAGTAAAGCTACTAAATAAATTCACACTGGTAAATAAGAAAAACCCATATTACCATGTATACTAAAGACGAACAATAAATGCGACAAAATGCATAGTAAATGATAATTATCTAAATTAAGTATAATTTGCCAATCTCCTCCTTAAATCTCAGACAGCAATAGACAATCTAATTACGATGGAATTTAGACTCAATCTCGCAATCATGCATGCTTAGACTGCAGTTTCGACCTCTTCCGGGCCTACTTGGCGAATTTTAAGCAGTTCTTCATGATAATGTCTACTTTAAGCACAACAATGAATTGTTAAGAAGAAATTTTCATGAAGAGTGAAAGCCTTCTTTCAGACAATTTGAATCAATATTTGCTTTTGTCAGACAGAAATATGCGCATTTCTTGTCAATTAAAAAAAGATCAGCTCAGTAAAAGCTTTCTGGTTACGAGGTAAAACCAAAGTTAGTGCAAGACCTGATTTTTCCGTCTGATTGTTATTTGTCTACATATGGAAGATTTCACAAAATCTACGTAAAATGTTAACCGTTCTTTGTGATGTCCCGCAGATTTGAGCCGTTTGCAGAACAGATTGAAAATTACCATTTGTCCAACATCATACCAAGAAAATCCAGTTTGACGGCCAACAAATGCGTGTCTCGTCGACAGCCTCTCAGTGAGTTTAGAGAAGACTGTCTTGCTTCAGATGCCCTGCCTGCCTACTGTGAACGGTGAAGAGCTTGAGCCCGAAGTCCCTGATTTGGTGAGAAAATGAAGGAGATTTCAGAACTGAAATCCACTCTGGATGGAAACCCATGCACAGGCTGACTGCAATTTAGAGGAGATTCAAGCTGCCATGCTCAACGACTAGTTCCCTGCACCATGACATCAAAAAACCTCTACCGTTCTTGCGACGAAAATAAAAAAAACTACACGGATAGAAAGAAGTGAGGAGCTCAAATATGTGCATGTTATCGACAGTCCTTTGGGTCTGTAGTTCTTCGTTCCCTATGGGCACAGGAGATGCATACATGAAGAGCCTTGACTGAGGAGTAAAAAAGTAAGAGTCTGGTAAAAAGTGTTCTTACATCGGGCGTAAATGGTGGCTCTTCCATACCAGCTTCCAGGCGCTTCCAGTTGATATTGGCAAAGAACGCATGAGACTTGACAAGTTTCGCGCCACCCAGGCAGCAACCGAGACGGTTTCTGGGATCCTTTGTGAGTAACTGTGAGGAAAAAAGATAAAAAATCGAAATGAGGTCTGGGAGAAGAGTATATAAGGAAAAATAGGCAGTCACTAAAATCAAGATACCCCCATAAATGAACGATACAATGTCATTTGCGCTACTTGGTGATAGTGTAAGAGATGTTGAAGAATGCATTCAGTTGTCATCATTGTTTGCAGCACTTTACAATTTATTTGATGCATTAATTGAAGTTGTATAAGTATCGTAATCACTATCTATAATGAGCTTTTTCAGTACTTGCAGCGACCTAAGACGCGTGAGAGACAAGATAGATCCATCTTATGACTGACTTTGCGTTGAATGGCTACCGCATTTCTTCTCCTGTCCTGGCACCATAACCAATTTCAGCAAGAGTGGCCAAGCTAAGAAAAGAGCTGCACCAGTTATGGGTCTAGCGCACAGGAGAATAA